ATGGCGTCCTGGTCTCCGCTTTTCAAGGATTCTCCCCCGAAATCCTGGGTGTGGGCGAAGCCAGGAGGATCGCACGGGGGTGCACAGCGTGGCCTTTCCTCGGCGGATACGCGCACACACACGCCGCCGAAGGAGGCCGCTGCCCACTGGTCATCCCGAGGGGTTCGTTTCCACCGGGAACCCCCCCGTTTTCCTTCGCCCCTTCGTTTCTTTTTCTCGTTTACCCGACCATCATCCCTCTGACTCTGACCCTCTTCCCTCCCGACTACTACTCTCCCCTCCCCCCCTACTCGATTCTTTCTTTCTTCCATCCGGACCGTCTTCCTCCTCTCCTCAAGGACGAGCCCGATTCCTACAATAGCCCGCCTTTTTTTACTCGCTTTTTCTCCAATTCCCCGAGATCTTTCTACTCGCCACATCCACCGCACCGCATCGCTATGGAAGCTGCTGCATCAGAATTGCCAACGATATATATATATATATATTTTAGTTTATCTCGAGAAGATAGGGAGGATTGGAGAGACGATAAGAGTCTTGAACCGTTATAATTGCAACAAAAAATCTATTTCGAAATGTTTTTTTTTTTTCGCCCGAGATATCGAGTTTCGAAAACAACCAGCGAGGAAAGTGAGATATGGATCGAATCCGAATCTAAATCTTCGATCGAGGTTGCTCGAGGGCGAAAAATGTTAATGCGGACGATCGATTGCATCGATCTATTCGGCCGTACGAATCTCAATTCCTTCCTTTCGTCGCGTATAATATTTACAGGAATGAGTCGTGAAGGAAGATGCGTATTGGTGTATAAATAAATAAACAGGATAATTGTCATCGTTATAATATTAATAAGATCTTCGAAGGCCGCGATTTCCTCTTGGATCGCTTCGCTTTACTCGTTCGTAACTATTCCTCTACTTCACGAGAGAATTATGAAGAAGCTGCGAGTGACATCGCAGCATGTCGGGGACGATATAAGAGCGCCTTTAAGATCCCTAGCCACTGTCAGCTAGAGCTACTTGATTTTTTCTCTTTTTCTCTTTTCTTTCTTCTTCCCCCTCGATCTGTTATCGTTGCCTGCTCGAACGAGTAGTATACCACAGTTTTATTATTATGCAGGCATAAAAATGTTGAACGTTCCGGACAAGATGGCGGTATCACGAATAATTCTATCTCGATAACGTCTCTTCCTTGAAAAGATAAAAGAAAAAAAAAAAAAAAAATGCAATCCCTCGAGTTTTCAAACTTCCATCTATCCATCCATCCTCAACGAAAGGAGAAAAGGAAAGGAAGGAATAACCTTCCTCGCGAAATTTGTGAAATTAATCTGAGAGAATCGTGAAACCCGATCCGCATTTTCCCCGTATCGTAAAAGGAAAAAGGATTGGCGGGGCAGGTGAATGATAGAGGAGGAGAGTCGTAAATAATCGATAAATAAAAGGGAAGTGATCGCGAGGAGGAAGGAGGGTCCGGGCTATTGATAACATTATCATAAAAGCGGCGTTAAATGGTCGGCCGCGAGGTTACGCCGATGCGGTGGTGGCAAAACGGCTCTATAAATGCGTTTACTTTGAGCCATAAAAGCGGCGTGCTTCGGTTGCCACCGTTAACGTATACCCGCACACCATTCAAACCATGCTCCGTGTATACGCGGACGATGAAGCGATTGTATGCGAGCGCGCATCTATGGAAGGAAACGAGACGTCGAAGCACCACCGCTTTACGGTAAAAGCCCTCTTTGAGGGATCCGTTTATTGGTTGCTAAACATCGATATATTGCTTTCGGGGTTGCGCAAAGAGGCACGCTGTCCTCCGCGTATCCACCTATTCAACCATACGCTCCACTCTTTTCCTCCTCTCTCTGGCTCGCTGCGTACACACACGCATACGCGCACATACCGACCACCTGCACGCGCGTATAATACATACTTACTACGGCCGCTATAACGCTTTCTGAGCNTTGAAAGCGCGCTGCCGCATCGCGTGTCTTCGTGACGCGAATAAATAAAATTTTCGAAATCGTGGAGTGCCGTACACGGCAATTTTTTACGGGGGGGAGGGGGGACGGGAGGAATGGTTCTGCGGATGTTAAGACGCGATAGTTGGAAGGAAGGGCGAAGATTGAAGTTTGTTGGACGGGATGGGAAAATATAGAGGAATGAGAAGATAAAGAAAAAAATAAGAAAAAGAAATGAAAAGGTGAAAATTTATACGAATTGCGTATACGTCACGTTCGCCCAAGATAATAATATCGGCAAATTGGACGTTTTTAGTTTATCCCGGATCTCGGTGTATTCGGATCTCGTCTAGGACGAAAACCGAATAAACGCGGTGCAAATTCTCGTAGACACGTGGCTGGATAATATAACCGACGAGAGGCGAGCAACGATGGATGATCGATTGGATGGGATAAAAAAGCGGAATCACAAAGGATCAACGAGCATCTCGCCTCAAAGATGTGTCCCTTCGCTCGAGACGATCCGCTGTCAACTCCTCGCTCACGTTTTCCCTCCCTCGTTGGCGAACACTTTATCTGGGTTGCATCATCTTTGAAACGTTCGTCGAATCCACGAAGACGTGGGGAATATATATATATATATATATATATATATATATATAAAACGTAAACGAGGTAAAAAAAAAAGAATAACGAATCGATTCGATCGCTTTCAGAAGGCGAATTAAAAAACGTAACGATCTTGAGGATGCGTTTCTCGTATCCTTTATCAACAGCGAGAAACGAGAATATCGTGGAAAAATTTTATCGAGAAAGTCGTTACGCTAACGATCACGGAATTTCCATGAAATTGCTTATTAAATTACTAACTTTTTCTTCGATGATTTAACGTTGCCGAGGCCATTTGTCTCCGCGGATTGTATCGCCTCACCCCCTGTTAATAAAACAAACCCTGTTAGAGGCTCTACTTACTCGAAAACTTTTGCCATGACTTTCATCATCTGAAAAATTCATCTCTCGTCGTTCCTTCAAATTTTCTTTTCTTTTTTTTTTTTTTTTTTTTTTTTTTCGAAAATTTATATAAGTCCTCTTTGTTTCTAATCTTCATGAATATTCGTCTCGAGACGAAGTTCGAACGTTTAACGCTCCCTCCTCCTTGATTTCAAACGTGCAACTTTTTATATCTATTTACGGATCACACATACCGGTTGAAACGAATATTTTTACGAAGAGACGGGGTCCATGGAAAATCGCACGATCGATCCTGAATGAAAATGTTGAAGCGCGCTAGTTTTGGTCGCGACAGACGTGCAGCCGTCGCACGGAAAGACACGCTAGGCTACGGTAATAATAATAGCCAAAATATTCGCCGGTTTATTCCTCGTATGCGTGGATGTGAGCACGATTTCGTGGGATGTCGGCTGGCAACATGTGGTTCGACGAACGCAATCTGCCACTGACATTTCGAATTAAACTCGTCAAGGATTACCCTTATGCTGAAAAAAAAAAAGAAGAAAAGAAAAAAGGAATATATTTTTCGATGCAAAAATTAACGTCTCGATATATCTATATATCAATCGATATCTATATATCGATATGTGTATATATATATATATATATATATATATATACATATTTCGAAGAATGAGAGAAACATTATTTACTTACGGATGTGTTTGAATGGTATTACTGTATAAGGGAAAGAGTAGAAGAGGCCGCAAAAACTGGAAAAGGGTTCTTATAGTCGTAGCTTTCAAGCTTCGACTAAGCCGATATGCATTCATTATAATAAGAAATGGAAGACGGCGAGTGAAAAGTTTGAACGCGCCCTGGCTTATCAACTTCCTCTGAATTTTCTATTATTTAAGAGAAGTCTCGTTCCATCTTTCATTCACCCTCCCTCTATCTCGTCTGTCTTCGTTCTGGATCGCCTTCCTCCTCGCCTTCCTGGCCATTCGTGGCACTTCCTTCCAAACACGCCGTCGAGGTACCGACCAACTTAACTTAACTTTCTTCTTTCGATGCGGTGCAAAAGCTAAGATGCGCGGCATTTGAAGTTCCCCGAATAGCCATTAGCATATTTATTTGTCATTCAATGCAGCCTTAAACGCGTTTCACCCGTAAAACTGGCAACTTCCTTTCAACTTGTATCACCGTGGATACAACGATAAAGTACATCTTGCTGCTTCATATATATATATATATAATATATATATACAGTTTATCCTTAAAAGTTAAATTGCAACAGTGCAAAGATAATATAAAAATGTGTCTATAAAATATATTTTCGTTTAGGATAGATATTAAAGTAAATTATTTTTTCGTATGTTATTCAATAAGATAATCTTCGTTGCATACCTAATAAACTAATAAAAATCGTTATTTTTTTAGATTACACTCTTGTGATCGAAAATTTTTAAATTATGGTTAAATTTTATATTATTAATAGTATATAATATATAGATAATAAAATAGTAATTGTATAGACTATAAAAAATAACGTGGGTAATCAGTCTTCAAAAAGATTTACAAATTATCAAAATCTTATAATATTCCTCTTATATCGTGTAATGAAAAAACATTTAAAAAGATTACTGTATTAAATAATATTTAAAAATGTTATAGACATAACAAAAATTTAAAAAAAAAATAAAGGTGTGCATTTTTAATAAATTTGTATATTAAATAACATTAAAACTGAATGAATATTAAAATTAATATGAATTAATTCAATTGAAGAATGTCTTTTAAAATTATGATTATTTGATTATTATTATTTGCGTGAACTACAATATTCATATACAACAATCAGAAAATTGGTTGATAAAAAAATTTATTATTATTTTTTTTTAAATAAATAACTTCTACTATTATCATAGACAAAAAAAAAAAATAAATCAAATATTCAATTTACTTTTTTGTCTTAGGGATCTTCTCACTACTATATTTAATATTATTCACAACTTTATCGCTTAGAATAAGATTGCAATATTAATAATAGTTAGAATTGTAAATAAATTTCAATATAAAATTACAAATAATTGTTTGTTTAAATCTCACCACTATCGCCGAATGATATTTCGCGTTAAAAACTCGAATAACGTATTAAGATATGTTTTATAAGATCATCATAGAAATATATTGTAAAACTGAAAATATATTGTATTATATAATTTTGAAAATTAATAATGAAAATATTCAATCGATATTTCGTATCTTATATGTGATCATGAACAAAGAAAAATAAATAATGAAAAAAGGACAGAGATAAAATAAAAATTAGGAAATCAACGCCATCTCTAAGTATTGAAAATAAAACTAATATAAATAAGAAGATAAAATAGTAAAAGAAAGAATTAGTTGTTATCATCAGTTAGCAAGCAGCAAAAATAGTTCCGAAGATAAGTAGAATAAGAATTGAAGATCAGCGCCATCTTTTCAGTAATTTTAAAGAAATATCTTTAGATAAAAAAGAACAGTATTAACGTGACATCTTATGGAATATTATGTCATATGTAACATCTGAAATATCAAAAATATACAAAAAAAATTAAAATATTTTTTAGCATTTCATATCTAATATAGTATTTATAATCTAAATAAGTATTTACATAAGTAAATACACAAAAATTAAATTATTAAAAAAATATAAAAATTTATGCTCATAATTTTTTTATAATTTTATTTTAGAAACTGAAACAGAAAGAATGTTATTTCTTTTTCACGAAAATTTATTTATTTTTTCAAATAAATTCTCGTTTTAATATTTGCAAAACATTCAGATTTTTTATCGTTGTGCCATACAATCAACAAAAGAAAATGGAAAATTTAAAAAATAAAATCTAAATTAAAACTTTCTATCATTATCTTACATTTTCATAAAAATCATGAAAATAGAAATATTTTATTATTTATTTATTGTTAATATTTATTATTTATTCGAATATTTATGTACAATTTACATACGAATATTCATATATTTAGATATTTGTAGTCTTAGATATTTATATATTTAGAAGTTTGTAAATTTCTATTAAACATATTTCTATTAAATATACTTTAATAAATTATAATAATTTAACGTTAGATTAATTTGAAAGATTAGTAATATTTAAAAGCATGATATATAAAAAATCTAACCTAAATAATAAATAATAATTAGAAAAAAGAAATGTTACTATTCATAAATATAATAAATACTCGTGATCATTATGTGTAATAAATGATCATTCGTGTAAAATTTTACGTACATAAACGATCACTTGTATCGATTTGAATTTTTCATTTTATTATATGACTGATTAGAGAAATTAATGTATTAATGTATGCAATTAATGTATGCAATTCATCGTTAGGTGCGAAGAATCTATAATTAATATTATCTATAAAAAGTCATCGTGAAGACTTTTGGAAATGATATAAATAAATAATATAATAATATAAAAATATATATATATAAATATATATTATATATATATATATTTTATATATATATAAAAATATAATAA